TGCGGCGCGCCCACGTTTTATTGAATAGACAGTATTGTCGAATTAAAAAAAGTGACACCTGAGAATTTGAAAACTTTTGATTTTTTTGATCTACGAAAAAGTGCGGCAAAAGCGTAATGTTTCAGATTTCCGCCTCGTTCGAGCTACTTTCGCGTTTAAGTTTAGTTTTTTGCTGACAAATAGATTCTTGAGATGCTAGCGATCATTTTTATATCAAGAAATCAAAATTTTGTTCAGAAAATCCCACTAAATTCACATAAATAAATCTTTTATCTACAGTATCCGTTTTCGCTCCGCCCCCTCGTAAATCGACACGAGCGCCGTCTCCGAGATTTTCAGGTGTCACTTTTTTTAATCCGACAATAAAGTCCGCGAACAAACTTGTTTTACCGTAACCCACCCGCGTTTTACAGTGCACTCGAGCGGGAAACCTGTCACAATGAAATTTTTGATCAGAAAAACAGCCACCTAATCTGAATCATATTCAGCTGCTGCTCCAAATAGTTTTCATAGTAGAATTAAGTTTTTTTGTCCTTATTTTACTCGCTGAAGTTGTTTTCGTTCAGACTGGCGACAACATACATCAAATTTTAAGTTGTACGCAGTTCGAAAAATTTCAGTTCGAAAAATTTCGTCTGGTTTTTTTTCATTTTCTTCAATAGGTTATATTTCAGCTATGGCTCTTAACAGTGAAGTGTTGTTTCGCGAACAAATCGCTGCAATGCGGCAACAAGCCGGCCGAAAGCGTGCTACGTCGCTTCAAAGCTTCTGCTCCGGTAACAACGATGAGTCGTCAACTGATAGCATCGATAAAATGTAAGCTTGTTTCAATAACTTCAATCTGTGAGAAAATAGTTCCAGGGAGTATATGGTCGACTACCCGCAACAAAAAGGAGTTAGTCGCATGAGAACTCGATTCAATAGCGATACCACTTTAAGCAAAAGCTTCCGGAAGAAGGTGAAGAAGCTTGCCCAAAAAGACAGGTGGCTAGATTATGATAGTTCAAATGAGTTTATTGATTTTCAGACGATCCAAGCAAAGCATTAACCTAGACTCTGATGAAGATCAAATCGAAGTTGCTCGTGGAGCACCCGCTGTTTTTGCAGCTCCATCAAGGCTACGCAAGTCGAAAGCTCTCGATTGTCTCATTTCACAGAAATCTGCTAAAAATGGAAAAGAAGATATCGGAGAATCAGAGGACATCGAAATGGCTAAAGGACATTTTAACAACGTCCGAATGAAAGTTTTCGCAGCCAGGACCGCAATGCAAGTTGAACCAGAACTAGTCCTCAAAACAAGAAAAGTTATTGAAACAAAGAGTTCTGTTCTGGGAAACGACCAATCCCCCGGTGCCTTCTCATTGCATGCTGCTTACAAAATTGCATCTACTCCTGATTCACGCATTGGTTCTGTGACCCAGAGCAACAAGAAGATCACGAAGGAAGCTATGGCCAACTTGATTCGTACGAGTTACGACGATACTGAGATCACACAAGAGTTGTTGTTTTCTTCGAAGTTTGACACAAAGTGGAAAGGTCGTTATACTAATATCTACATTAGACGCGATGAAAATGGGAAGAAACCTAGACGCCCAGTCAATGGTCAAGGTTGGGTGATGCCGCTCAAAAGTATCTGCGAAAAGTTTGGAATCAACCCTTCATTCTTCACCGATCATCGAATTGATCTTCAATCGGCCAGGGATCAAGTTCTTCTTATGCGTTTCCTATCGAGAGATCAGACAAGCACATGGATTTCGGATATTCATCCGGAGGCAGTTAACAACGAAACTATGACCGAGTATTTGCTCCACGATCTCGACTCATCTACAATGCAGAAGCGAATCCAAGCTTATAAGGCCAACGTTCTGGCGGACAGAGATCGTCATCGTGTAGCTGGACAGTGTTAGTTTCTTAATCCAGGATATAGTGATTCAATGTGATATTTCAGTTTACAATAACATTCGAATTGGAAAAAGAATGTTTGGAGCTGCCAGAAAAGCAAAATTTGTTTCTACGATAATCGGTGGAATGGAACGACGCTTTGAGATCCTTGAGAACTCAGTGAATCACATTCCCTTTACGCACAATGCTTCGGACACCAATCGAGATAAGTGTCGCAATGAACGCGTTCACTGTAAGGATTCTACTCGAGTGAAACTGGAATTCCCACAGAATCAATTCTTTGGGGATTTTATTCATGCCAATCTCATTTCTGGCAAACCACTTTTCAACGAGTTCATTCTGACGCAAGCACCAATGGAAAATACTGTAAACGATTTCTGGCGAATGATTTGGCAGGAAGAAGTTCCATACATTGTCATGCTGACTAGCAGAAAGGAACCTGAAAGGTGTGCTCCTTACTGGCCAAAGTCTCCAACTGACCCTGCCATTCATGTTTCTGGTGGTATTCAAATTGAAAACTACGGAGTGTATCAAGCGCCAGACCCAATATTCCGGGTAACTCATCTTCGTCTCATTGGGCCAGATCGCGAAGAACGTCATGTTGAACATTGGCAAGGAGATGTTAACAATTCTTCAAACATGTATTCACCTTTAAACATTCTCCGTCTTCTTCGGAACACTTCAAAGCCAGTCGTCATTCACGATCACTTAGGAATCTCAAGAGCAGCTTGTCTTGTTGCCGCTGAAATCGCTATTTGCAGTTTGCTCAGAGGACCAACTTACAAGGTATGTTGATCTGATAATTCTGGGTATTATTATTTTTTCAACAGTATCCAGTGCAAAGAGCAGTACAATTCCTACGGCAACGTCGTCCATTCTGCATTGAAACTCCAATGCAATACATATTTGTGCATCGTCTTGTGGCATTCTTCTTCCGTGACGTCATTGGCAGCGCCAAGGAGCTTGATATCGACTACGAGAGATGGTTGCAAGAACGTTCTGAGAGAATGTTCCTTGACGATATAACTGCTCCCATTGCTGGATATCGCTTGCTTTCTCCAAAAGCTGATCCCGATATTGTCCGAATGGTTGGAAGGCCGGAGAGACCTAACTATCGACGGTAAGAATTGATCAACCTATAGTTCTAATACACATTAATTTCCAGCGAAGCACCGGATTGTGTTGGCGAGATGCCCAACAAAGTGACGACAGTCGACGGAATTCTTTCACCTGCGAAAACTGTCTTCGAGTTTTGAAAACTCATACTTTTTACTAACATTAGCTCCACTCTATCGCATAATCCCCACCTCTCCTTTGAAATGCATGCCCCTGACATTAACCTAATTTTAACGTTCCTGTAAATATTGCATGATACTGTATAAAGTTATTGAAAATGTCGAAACTTTAATAACCAGTGATAAGAAAACGAATTGTTGATGAGTATGATACGAAAATTCAGAAAAAGAACAAATTTCAAACAAACAGAAAACCTAACTGGGAAAGATAAAAAACGACCTGTTGAAAAAGATGCAGTTCTGAGTTTTCCGAATGAGAAGAGAAGGGATGTGTGTGGCAAGTGAGTGAAGAAGGGGAAGATAAGTTGAGGCGAAAAAAACATGTAAAAATTAATTAGAAGATCTATTCGGAAGCAATTCATGATTCTCCACAGTGTCGTTGTAAATTGGAACCATTTCTTGCTCGAAAGCCGGATTGTTGAACGATCCACGCTGGAATTACAAAACTCGAATTAGGTTAAAGTTGGGCAATCGACTTACTTCGTGAGATGATACGAGACTCGTATTTTGGGTGATTAGTTCAATACCTCCTTCATCGATCAGATACGCTGGATTGCTGAACTGATCGGCAGGTGCTTCATGATTTTGCAGTGGGTTATGACGGAACTGGCGGAAAACGGCAAACCTAAAGATTTTATGATTAAGAACAAAGCAAGCGAAGGACTGTTAAACAACCTGTTGGATCTGTTGGCGACTATTCCAATAAGAAGAACTATTGTGAGAATGACGATGATCAGAATGACGAAAAATCCTGGAAGAAACTTATATTTGAATTTCAAAATAACAGAATAACTTACTTGTCCAACTAAGACTATCAGCTTCAGATGGTGGTGTTAAGTGACTAACACGATACTGACATCGATCTCCAGTAAAAGCTTTGTAACATTCGCATTGCGGTTCAAACTCTTCATTGAGTGAGCACTTCCCATCGTGATGGCAGAAGTTGTCACAGGAATGTGATCCACAAAGAATTCCCTGGAATCCAGGTCGACAAACACATTGAGGACGATTCCTATCCACATCCGAATCCGGTTCCAGGCAATATCCTCCGTTTTGGCACTTTAGTTGATTGCAAGAAACGGCTGTTATCTCCTCACAATATTTGCCTCCAAGACCTTCAGGACATTGACAAAGTACGGTTCTTGATGGCTGCTTGATGCACTTGGCTCCATTTTGGCATTCACTACATAGCGTTTCTTGTTCACAACGTAATCCCTTGAAACCAGGTTTACATTCACACTCGAAATGTGTTCCGTTTGTCTCAATACACTTTGAATTGTTGGTACAGTAATCATCACATAGTACAGGAACATCGCATCGGGGACCAGTGAATCTTGGAAGACATTTGCACTTTCCAGGACTTCCAGGCATATCGAGACACTTTCCTCCATTGTGGCACCAATTGGGTTGTTTATGGCAGATAGGAGAGCAATCTGCGTTTGGAGCAGCTGCGTTTTTCTCGCAGAAGCAAGAGATCGGTTGTAAGTGATTCGTGAAGTCATAAACACATTTTTCTCCATAAGAACATGCATCCTTGCAAAGATATTCCTCACAGTTATCTCCGGTATACCCGGATGGGCAGATGCAATGCGACATTGTTCGATTTGATCCAAAATATGAACAAAATCCTCCATTTAGGCACTCACGATCCTTACAGTTTTGACACCGATTTCCGTTGAATCCTGGTCTACATTGACATTTCAGATTTGATGGTTGATCTCCTTGGCATTCTCCTCCGCTGAAGCAGTGTCCATAACAAATCTTAGCATCGATCTTGTGTCTACAATGAGGTCCAGACCATCCTTTATCACATTCACAGTAACTGTATGAACGACAATGGGGTTCTTCTCTTGTGCATGGAACAGTTTTACATGATCCACGGGGACCACAAACTCCTTCACACACATTCGTTGCACAGTCGATTTGGGTATAGTTTGCAGGACAATGACACTCGATGTTTCTGGTCGCTCCGCTTTCTCTGATAGCGCATGTCTCTCCATTCCAACACCGTTCGGAACATTCGTTAATCTGAAAACAACATTTTGATAGCTACAATAGTTCGAAAATTGCTACTAACTTCACATTGCCTTCCATAGAAACCAGGTGGACAGATACATTTCTTTTGAGCACTGCAAGCTGCATTGTTGTAACAGAAATAGTCTCCACATTCTGAAAATTACACTTGTTATACTCCATGACACTCTGCAGAGATATCCGGATTACCTTTCTCGAAAAAGTCATTAAGGATATCTCTCAAAATCTTAAAAAACTCACGAGAAGCTTCTTGGTTCATATCATGAACAGGTAGACATTTTTTGGTCGATTCTTCGAAGAACCTGCCAGCTCCGCAAAGACACTTTGGAATTAAAACTCCGTTTGTCTGAAAATTAAAAATAAGGAATAGTTAGAAACACAAAACAACTTACATCCTCTTTAGGAATACAAACAGTTTCAGATGGACAGTAATCTGATTGACATGGATTCTTCTGATGGGTGATATGGGATACGGTATGTTTAGAAGGATGAGCAATCAGTAGACGAATTCTTGGTGCAACATCTCGAATTCTTTGTGGATACTTATTGGTTTTTCCACTGAACTTGTGCATTTTATGAATGTTTCCTTGGAGAGTGACCAAATAAATGTATCCCCCAATGATATCCATTGAAACTGGACTGTCTCCCAATTCGAACTTCCGCACCGTTCGCCTGTCTCTTCCATCGTAAGATACAGTTTCAACGGTTCTTTTGAAACCATCAATCCAATATAATCTTTTGTTTGGAGAATCCAAAATTAACGATTTGGGGTCAAAAATATTTCTCTCAATCAACGCTTTGTGTGGTTGAGATCCAGTTTTGAATAGCTGAGCAATCGGAGTACCATCCAAATGTGCTGACAGAATTCTTGGTACCGGAGCTCCAGTCGTCCAGAAAATGAGACGTTGAATTGGATCAACAGAAAGCGAAGTGATGGATCCGGTTGAATTTACAATCAGAGTTCGGGTGTTTGTATCCTTGGATTTCGCAACATAAATATTTTCTTGGGTATGAAATAAAATTCCGGGAATATACGACCCACTTTCTGTGAGATAAACATTGTTATGCATGAAATCATGAGCAATCAATCCAGCTGTACTCTCGTCGTTTTTCTCTCCCCATTCGTCTGATGGTTTGCTTTCGGACCACTTCTTTGTTCTGATATCCACTCGATTCTTTCCAATTCCGACAGAATACATCAATGTAGTTTTGTACATGTCATATCCAAAATCAATTCCACCAGAAATAATATTCATCCTCTCATTGAAAACAGTTCGGAGGCGAGTTTCCTCAGCAACCATCAAATGTAATCGTTTTCCATTTGATAGGAAGATTTCAGTGAATTTTGTGAGGGGTTCACAATCGTTATATTTCGTACTTTTTGTGTATCCCACATCGCAATGGCATCGTGCAGTACTATTATATGCCATCCAGCATTTTTGAGGACAAGTACCAAAATGGTGGCATTGCAATCCACAAGTATCTTCATCCGATCCATCTCCACAATCATCTCTTCCGTCACAACGTGCTGATTCATCCAGGCATCTTCCGTTTGTGCACCTGAACATTCCCTTGCACATGTCTTTGCAGTGAGCAGGACTCTCATCACTTCCATCGGAGCAGTCTTTGAAACCATCACAAAGCGCAGTTGAAACATCGAGACATTGCTTTTTGTCGTCACAGAATCCGATTCTAAAGCATCTCGCTTGTCTTGATTTGCACATTTCTGGATATTCGTCTAGACCATCTGCACAATCCCATCGACCATCGCAGACCTGCCATTCCTTGACGGTTTGTCTGGAACACTGGAAGAGCGGGTTACTGTAGCCTCCATAATTCTGACAGTTCTGTTCATCCTTCCCACTCTCGCAATCAACCTTTCCATCACAAATGAGAGAAGCGTTGTTCGAAAGATGGCATTCCAGATCCGGACATCCCTTTTCGTCTGCTCCATCTTCACAATCAATAATTCCATCACATTTGAATCCTCCACAGGTTCGAAGCACAGGTTTCTCCATCAATTTCTTGATAGCACAAGCCTCTTCCTCTTCATCTGTTCCATGTGTGCATTTTCGTTTTCCATCACAGAGTTCTTCAACTGGAACACATTCGTTGTCACACACAATTGCACATTCTTTCTTGCATCCTTTCTCATCCGATCCATCTCTACAATCAATTGTGCCATCACATTTTCTCCTTTTTGGAATACATTTTCCACTTGCACACTGAAATTGCTCATGTGTGCATTCTCCGATTCCGAAGCAAGTATCAGGTTCATCCTGTCCATTTGGACAATCATCTTCTCCGTCACAATAGAATTCTTTTGGAATACATTTTGAGATTTGTGATGTGGTTTCATTGACGCAGGCGAAGAAGTCAGGTTTACAACTTTTGATTTCACAACTTCGTTCATCCGATCCATCGTCACAGTCTTTTTCTTTATCACATACGGACGTCAGTGGAATACATTTCTTCTTGTCGCCACATTTGAATTGAGATTCAGTGCATTCGAAATGTTCGCAGAATGTCTTTTCCTCATCTTCCCCTTCTAAACAATCCTTGACTCCATCACAAAGTTTTGAAGCATACAAGCATTGCGCAGTGGTGTTCCGAGGGGACTTTGGGCACAGGAATTGTCCGGGATCACAAGGGAACTGAGGACAGACGCCTTTCAAAAAATATCCTTCATCTTCTCCATCACCACAATCATCTTGTCCGTCACATCTCCACCACGAAGCAATGCATTTGTAGGTTTTTGTGCAGACAAAATCATTTGGTTTGCATTCAGAAACACACGATCTTCCATCCGATCGGAATCCTTGTGCACACATACATGTAAACGCTTCTGGACTACTAGCAGGAATGCATAGATTGTCACATCGCGCTGGCTGAGAGCATGGATGTTTGGCTGTTTTCATACTTCCCATATTCTGAAATGAAGGATGAACAACTTTGAATCCCATTGGTCGGTATTGTTTGTCTTGAATCAGCACTTTCCGATTGTCTCCAGTAATTTTATGAACTCGTTCAATGGTATGATTATGCCAATCACTCCAATAAATATAGTCTTCAAATACTGCCAAAGCGAAAATATGTCGTACAGAATTTCTCAGAACCATTCTTCTTTTAGTTCCATCGTAATTGCAAGAAGCAATGTAATCTCTGTGAGCATCTCCAAAATATAGCCGTTGTGCCGGTGCATCAACAGCCAATGCATTTGGCCATCGAATCGTACGATCTTCAAGAATTATCATCTCGTTTGAACCGTCCATGTTCATTCTTCCAATATGAGCAGAAGCTCCCCAATCAGTCCAGAAAAGAAGAGCCTGGATGGGATCGAGAACAATAGCTCGTGGATCATTCAGTGGTGTTCCCTTGAGAAGAATTCGGTTGAATCTTCCTCTCATGTCACAGACTGCAATTGCATCGTGGTTTCTATCCGTATAATAAATGTGTCTTCCAAGCCAATCCACAGCGATTCCATCAATTCCCTTCGTTGGTAGAGAGTTTATGATTCGATACGTATATGGCTGATTGCTCATTGAAGTGATTCCCGCCTTATTTCCACTGTTTGTGACATCTGTCCAATAGACCAAATCACTCTTCACGTCATAGTCTAAAGCAACTCCGTTGGTCAGATTCGATAGAAGAGTTGCTTTGGCGTGTCCATCGATTGTGAAAAGTTTCAGACGGTGACCAGAAACCATCAAAATTTCCGGCTCAATTGTATCGTTTCTTCTACAATCTCTCTGATTATCCGAGAGAATAAAACCAGGAGCACAGAAACATTGATGCCCAACGTCTCGTCGATCGATGCAGAAGTGAGAACAGTTGGCTTTCGGGCATGATGGAGATCGTAGGCATGTCCTCTTATCATACGGAGAGAGATGGAACCCTTCATCACATGAACACGTTTCAAAGCCGGCATTTCGTTTGCAGTTCCAGGGCTGTTCACAAGAGTTTCTTGCCGATGAGCAGTTTCCTTGTGGCAGATCGCATTGTTCATCAATTCTGAAAATGATAAATAGAAACAGCGAAATATTTTTGTCTTTCTTACCCAGACATGCAGTCTTTTCTTCCATCGCAAAGTTGATGTTCCTGCAGACAGCCAATAGTTCCATTTTTCAAAACACATGACCATCCGTTTGGACATCCACGTTTTGGCGGTTCTGAGAGTGAACATATCTCAACCCATTCATCTGATCCATCAATACAATCTACAGATGAATCACAGAGATGAGCTGAATTAATACATTGTCCACTATCGCACATCCATTCATTTAGTTTGCACTGTCTATCCAACGAAGCACAGTTTTCTTCATCGAATCCATCATTACAATCTTTGATTCCATCACAAAGAACTGCTGTCAACTCACAAGCAACCACGCAAGTCTCATCTGTACATCTTGATGGAACATGGAATGATGTTTTCCCTGGAGCACAATCCATTTCATCTGACCCAAGTGATTTTGCATTATCCAAACAATCGTCAGTTCCATCACATCTCCACGCCATCGGAATACATCTATGATTAGTGCATCTGAATGTTGAATTTCCATTCTTTGAGTCACATTCTGTGTCACACGAATTCTCATCTTCTCCATTTGGACAATCTGATCTACCATCACATTTCTGTTCCAACGGAATACATTTTTTCGTAGATTCGCATGTGAACTCAAACGAATTGCATGCTTTCTGCTCACAGTTCGCCTCATCTGATCCGTCCGCACAATCTGGTTGACCATCACATCTCCAACGGTTTGGCATACAATTTCTCGTAGCTAAACAGGGGAATTGAGTGGCAGAGTCACAGCTTCTGGGTGGTGATACACTTCCTTTGTTGAAATCAAATTCCACTAGACAATCCAATTCATCTGATCCATCATAGCAATCATTGGTTCCATCACACTTCCATGAAGGATGAATACATTGAGATGTTGATGCACAGTTGATAAGGTCACTCATACCAAACTCCACTAAAGATGAGCAATTTCTGTAGGGGCATCCGATTTCATCACTTGCATCGTTACAATCCTGTACGTGATTACATCTGTCTTCTCCCGGTATACAGTTTCCTGAATCGCATTTGAATTCACTTTTACTGCATGTACAATTGTTTTCATCATGGAAATTGATGCAGTCGTTGAATCGATTGCACACTTTACTTTCGCTGATACAGAGACCATTTCCACAATCAAAATATCCAGGACGGCAAACACGACTGGAACAGTATTTGGCATCTTCGTCATCAAACATCGGACAATCGTTGTATTGATCACACGTGTCTTCATACGGAATGCATTTATCAGAGTGGAGACATTTGAATTCGTTCTCTGCACACTTTTTCTCATCAACATCTGTAAAATTATAACAGCTATTCTCCCAATAGTATCGAATTTCGTTACCTCCTGTACACGTTTTGTTGTCTGCACTCAATCTTCTTTCTCCGTTACATGCACAAGTAGCTTGTCCATCTGCCATCAGTCTACAGTAGTCCCCACATTTCAGTTCATTTTCATAGCATGGATTTTTGGTGCCTGAAAAATTCAAATCCTATGATTACATACATTTTCAGAATAGGAACTCACAAAACTCTTTTGATACATCAACCACCACTAATCCAACGGGAACTTCTGTTGCCCGATTCATAAGACGATGCTCGACACCCGATATTTTGTTAATTCCTGAGACAGCTCTTTTAACCCAATCAGTAAAGATGATTTCATTTTCGTAAATTTCCAATTCGAAAGGATGGATCGAGGGATTATCAGAGTTGGAAATGACAACCTGAAAATTGAATTATAAGATTATCATTCCGCTTGATGACAGAACATTTGACAACTTCTCATTAAAAGACTAACCTCTCTGTTACACCCATCTAAATCACAACGGGATATTCTGAAATCTTTGGAATCCGAAAAATACAATTTTTCAGTTTCGAGATCAATTGCTAATCCTCGTAAATCGTGGAGATCCTCTTGGAGAATTTGTTCCTTAAAAATTTCACTAATTTTCTGATAATTTTACTCAATCACTTACTCTTTTATACCCGCTGAAATATGCCCGTTCAATGACAGATCCAGTGATTGCGTTGTTTGTGAAGAATAAAAGCATTCTACATGGATCGATTGCCAAATGACGAGGTCGGTCCCTATTTGTCAATAGCAACACAAGTTTTGGTTCCGTTGGATAATTTTCCAAGTTATTGTCAGCTACATCGATTCTCCAAATACCCGCCGGATTGGCTGACACGTAGTAGAGTTCTCGATTGACCTCATCGTAAGCCATGCTAGGAACGACTCGAACGTCTTCTGCAATCACAACGCATCCCGTTCCATCGAAATTGACTGCTGAGATTCGGAATTTTTCATAATCCGCAAAGTAAATTCTTCCTCTTGAATTATCTGCGGCAATCGCTCCGATTTTCGTCATAGCACAACTGGCAGAGGCAATTTGTTTGTAAGGTGGAGCCATAACTCCAGGAGTGGCAGACAGGAATTCAATGGAAGTGAACCGAGTGAAAGCTACAAATGTGTTACTTTGACCACAGGTTCCGTCTTCTGTAGGGACTGAATGAACGCATATACACTTCTTCTTGATGGAGTCCTCGAATGGTACCGTAATACAAAGATGTTCACATCCTCCGTTGTTATTGGAACAGGCAGTGAAGAGAACTGACTTCTTTTGATCCATAATATCAAAGTCAATTATTCTTAGTTTTTGGCGGGGTAGTTGTTTTTTGATAGAATCTACGAAAACCACAGATCCATCTTTTTGAACTATCCCTCTTACGATACTTCCCGATGAATTGAATTTATCAAAGAAGAACATTTCATCTCCATTGAATGACAAACTGACAACTTCGGCAAGTCCTTGTGCTTTGAACATCGCCACATTTCTCTGTTCGTTCTCTCCATTGTAATCGACACAATCAACTGCTGCTCTTTCAGAATCCATGTAGCAAAGTCGAGAACGATCTTCATCTACTGCAATCGTGGCAACTGCTGACTTTGCGACAATGCATTTCGGTTCACTTCCATCGTAGTTTGCTGCCTTGATACAATGAGCACTCGCCCAGAAGATTTTTCTGAAATATGATTATTATCAGTTTAGAAAACTGAAAAGTAATAATTTAAGTTACCCTTTCGGAGGATCCACTGCGATTTCATATGGGACTTTTTCTTCATCTTCTACTATCACAGAATACATTCCTTCTTGATAACGGTCCGGATCCAGAAGAACAATGTCTCCTTTGGAAGACACCGATTCTCTAGCTGATACGAGGAGATGTCCAGTTACTCTATCCAAACTTATCGCTGCGATCCGATGAGAAGTTGTTGAGTAGATCATATGAGCGAAGGATCCGTTTGTTGCACATTTCCAGACTTCATTTTGACGAGTCACAACGTAGATCTAAAAACGTTCATTCAATACGACATGAGTGAGATAAAAAACCTAACCACATCTTTTTTGGTGTCTGCTACCAGTCTGACAATTCGTTTTTTGCCAATATCACTGTGGAGAGAGTGAGCTCTCATTACTTGTACCATTTCTCCCGACTTCTGATCTTTGTACCATCCTACAGATTGAACTGATCCGTCATCAGTGACATAAATGACTCTCTTTTCTGGTGACCGACATTTTCCATTTTCCAAGATGTATCCTTGAGAGCAAGCACACTCGAATGTTTTCTGATCTTTGCTCAAACAGAGAGATTCACAAGTCTTGCATTCATCAGGAATATTCTTCACCACTTTCGAAGTATCAATAGTTGCCAAGAAGAACTGAACGGAGCTGTGAAGTGGAACTTGCATGACGCCTCCTGTTTGTGTTGACTTCGTACCCTTCATTGACAATCTTCTTACTGTAGTCTGGTTGGCAATTCTCACAAACTCTCCAATCAGAATATCGCCATTCTTCTGATCAACGGCAATCGAACTGACATTCTTGTCTCCACCAGTAACTTCTATTTCGTTAATGATTTCTGTTGCTGGATTGAATTGAACTATTTTTCCTTGAGATATCCAATACAGTTTAGAATTGAATTGGTCTACCGTAGGATTGTAGACTTTTGTGAGCAACGTGGAATTCAGCTTCAGCTTCTTTGCTCCGTTTCCAGCAGCTGACATTGTAAAGATGGTGTATGGAGTTGTTCCAGCTTCGAACCAATACAATTTCTTTGTTGAGTTTACAAAAATAATGCCTCTTGGGAATCTCATTCCAGGAAAAGTTCCCGATTCAACCAGCACTTTCTTACTAGTTCCTTCTGCATTGATGACTTCGATTCTTCCAGTTCCATCATTTGAAAAGAAAGTAAAGTAGGTATTTCCAAGAACAGGATCGATTGTCATTCCACTAACACCGTACATATCACTTCCGGTTGCTAAAATCTGTTCATCTGCTTCCCCAGTCAAATTCACAAGGACCACTTGGTCCGTTAGATCATCGAGAATTTGAAGGCGATTCTGGAAACTTCCAACGTCTCGAATATTCTCAAACTGTTTCCCAGAGACAAGCGGAAAGGCGTGTGGATGAGGAGGAATTGTTGAGAATCCACGAACCGCATTTTTTGTAGCAATCAGAAGAGTCTGTTCAACATCTACACATCCATCGTCGGTTGTAGTTTGAATATTCGTACATTGGCAGCTGGCTTTGTTTCTTCCATCATTCAAGCATATTCCATTGCATTTGAAACCGTCACACATGTTTTTCAGTTGGCGTTTCTGTTTAGATCGGTGCACGATTTTCAAAGAGAATGGTTGAGTTGCAACTCTTTCCACTATGGTCACTTCTCCTTTACCGAATTTATTAACTGTGCTAATTGTATTGGTTCTCCAATCCGAGAAATAGACGTTATCTCCGTAAACATCAATACCAAAACAATGTCCAAGTCTTTCTGGATCTCGGAGCACAAGGACGTGATCTCGACCGTCGTAAGTGATTGTATGAATCGAATCCGATTTTGCATCAACCCAATAAACTCGTTTTGTAATCGTATCCAATGCAATCCCATTCGGCCATCCAGCCTGTGCAACATTCGAAATCTTCCAAACAGTTGCACGATTCTTTCCGGCTAATGTACATCTCTCGATTCTCGGATTCGCTTCCTCCCAATCTGTCCAGAACATTAAACCTTCTTCCACATCAATTGCCAGTGATCTTGCGTTTCCCATATTCTCATTGACTACTGTTGCTCGTTTTGTTCCATCTTCAGATAGAACTTGAATTGTATCCAAATGACTGTCTATCCAGTAAATGTTTCCAGTTATCCAATCAACTGCAATTCCTTCTGCATTAAATACTCCGTATGAAACAATCGTTCTTGAATACATAATCGTCCGTTGGTCCATTAATCCAGAATATATCTTATCAGACGATAAATCCGTCCAATAAACAATTAGGGATCCATTATTAAGATATTTGAAGTCTAGAGCAATCGCATTTGTAAGACTTGAAATCAGTGGAATACTTCCAGGAGACGTTGCTTGAATCATTCGGATTTCATGGCGGTTAGAGTAGATCATGAACTCTGTCTTTGGATCAACTGTACGGCAAGAGATTCTATCATTCAACAACTTGTATCCATCTTCGCAGTAACAGAAATGACGAGATCCTTGTGACATACAATGCTGAGAGCATTGCCCAAAGCGACATGGATCTTTTTTAGCACATGTAACTCCATCTTTCTCAAGGAAATATTCATCAGGACATGAGCAAATGGGACCAGATGGAGTAGCTCGGCACGTATGTGAACATCCGATTTCAGTTGAATTGCATAGGAAAGAACACCACATTCCTTCATCATCTCCACTAGGACAATCATTCTTTCCATCGCATAGTTGTTTGTCGGAGATGCATTGGAATCTTCCACTTTGACATTTGTACATTGGAGGAATGCATCGCAATAGAGCTGCCTGAAATTATGATTCACTTTTTTGAAGGATATAAATTTCTTTAATTTAATACTACTTGCATACCGATTTAGATACCGATTGGTTGAATATTGAATTCGTACACTGTAAACGCTCTAATGGAGTTCCACAGGAACCGTCAACTTGGAGCTCACATATCTCATTAACTGTGAAAGATATCAACAAACTGTCAACCGACGAAATGTCTATCATAACATCAAAAATATTTTGTCAGTTGATCACTTTTTGATAAAATCTGAAGATATTTTGATAATATTGGTTGCCGAAAAGCGCACAAATGGCTGCGGATGATCTAGGAGTTGGCTAGAACTTGCGTATTTAGAAGAATGGAGAAACTTTTGTGACAAAACTATGAAAGGCAATCATTAGTAATTGGGTCATAATGAAAACATTTTTTTGATAAAAATATAAGAAAAAGTAAGGTTTCAGGAAACCCTGTCTAACCTGTGATATTACAAACCCATATGTAAAATAATCGAACTGTTTGAAGACTCACCTCCATTCGAATATCGTCACAATGTGATTCATCCGACTTGTCTCCACAATCATCTACACCATCACATTCCAATTCCTTCGAAACACATTTGTTTCCATTTGCACAACTCAAATGAGTAGCACTGTTGCACATTGATGGTGGACACTCTTTCTCATCCTCTCCCGTTAAACAATCTGGAAATCCATCACATAGCTGGAAACTTCGCAAACATTTTCCATCTGCACACATGAACTGATTCATTTTTGCACAAGAAGAAGAGGTATTTCCTTTGCAGAATTCTGGAGATTCATCACTTTCATCCTCACAATCTGGCACTCCGTCACATTGGAAAATCATATCCAAACACGTGGATTGTTTATTTGCACATCTGAATTGTCTTCCCTTGATACATGAATTATTCTCTTCACAATGTTTCTCGTCTAATCCATCCAAGCATTGCATTTTGCCATCACAGACTTGGGATTGTTTGATGCACAGTCCAGTTCCACATCGGAATTCTGTGGGAGTACACAGTTTGCTTCGAGGGCAATCTTCTTCATCTGAGCCATTCTCACAATCTTGAATTCCATTGCATCGTTTTGATTTATCAATACATTTTGTGTTGGAACAACGGAACTGTCCAACGGAACATCTCACATCGGGAACCGTCTTACACATCGTCTCCAATTCATCAGTGCCATCGTTGCAGTCTGATTTTCCATCACAAAGGAATTCAAGAGGAATACATGTTGTTGAATCACATTGAAATTTGTTTCCAACACATTTGAAGTCTTCTGAAAATGATTTACTACAGTAATTTGTAATTTATAGATTAGAATTACTCACTACAAATTCCATTTGAATCCTCATCACTTCCATCACCACAATCATCGTCTCCATCACATAAATTTGCCTTTGGAATACATTTTCTGCTATTCAAACAAGTGAATTCTCTATCCTCATCGCATCCATTTGGATCTTCCCAGTGCTCATCTTTGACACATTTTCCGTTGTCTACTAACTTCATTCCGTCGGCACAGCCACACTTCACAGGTTCACATCCAACCGACCCTTTGCAAGAAGTGGCAAAGCAGAAGTGTTCGCAATTGCTCGAAGACGTCGAGCAAGGAGATGTTGCTGAATTTATTAAAGTTTTAAAAATAGTTTTGTGTATTAACTTACATTTGGAGAGAGAGTTTTTGAACACTGCAAGTTCAAAAACTGTCGCAGAGTATTGGAAAATCTCTTGCACTTGATCCGGAAAATTGACATTGACTCGTTTGACAGCACCTCGTTTGAATTCGGTGAAGAAAATATGATTATCGAAGAAAGCGAGACCATAAGGATGCGAAATCTTATCAACACCTTGAATGATAACTTCCCGATCAGCTCCATTCCATCGAATTCTTTCGATGACGTTCCGATATGCATCACACCAATACAGAAAATCATTTTTCAGATCGAGAGTCAACCCATTAATCCACATTGAATTCTTGGAAACAAGAGTTTTTCGTTCGCTTCCATCCAACTTGGATCTTTCGATCATTGCAGGAGTCGTTGCATCGTTTTGTCTATCCTCACTCCAACTTCCCCAGAATAAATAACTTTTGGCGACATGAACAGCAATTGCTCGTGGATTGCTCATGTTTCCTCTTACAATGATTTTCTGGACGGAAAGGTTTGACAGCCTTTGTACCGTAATCAGCTTTCTTTTCTGATCAGTCATATAGAGATTATCCGAAGTGTAATCATATGCCATTCCTTCACAGTTCATGATTCCAGTTAGTCCATGGAAAGTTGTATTTGATTGATCCATCTTCTGAACAACTAAGGAATGCCTCTTCAAATCGTACATCAGTATCCGCTTCCCTTTTGGATCAAACGTGATTGCACTTGGTCGTTTTGCAGCAAGAATATCCGGAATTCCAATGTCTTCAGTCTGATAATCTTTATTGAATCCAAGAACTTTTACCCTTGCCGGTCTCAGCTGAGCCAAGATTAAAATTTCTTTATCTTTCAATTCATTTTGATCAATCTCTTGACATTTATTTTCTTTTTGAATCAATCCGTCTCTGCAGAGGCAAGAGAAAGTTTTCTCGATGTGACCAATACAAATATCATCGCAAGAAGCAGCTTTGCAAATATTCCTTCCTTTATTCTTCCATGCATTTGCATTCCTTCGAAAATGAAAAACTTCCATTATCACCTTATTTGGTCCTCCATTGCTGGGAGGGGTTATCTCCTGCCACGTCTTCAGAACTGCCTCTGAATCCGATTCCAGAGCGTTGGCTACAAAAACTCTGTTGTCTCTCAAAGTGGCAAAAAGTTTTCCTTCGGCGTAATCCAACTGTGTTACTTCTTTTGCAATCCGTCCTGATACCACAATTCTTGAGAAATTCGAGTTATAGTCAATAGCCTTGATGGAATTTGCAGAGCTGTCCACATAATAAAGTGTCTTTGTGAATGGATCAATTGCCAAAGCAGGAGATGTGATCGGTTGAGTGGTCAGTCGATTTCTCTCTCCTGATGCCACGTCGATTCTCCAGATTCCTTGTTGAAAATAATCACTGTCGGTGACAAAGAACTGCCCGTTCACTCCATCGTATTGAACATCTTGGAGTGTTCCCATTGCTCCAGCAGCAAACGTATGGCATTTGGAAATTTTAACAGAGTCATGTTTACAAATGAAGATGTAATATGACGCATCTGTGAATATCCAATTGTTGCCAAAGTTATCGAATCGAATCATATGAATTGCAGAGATATCAAAATCCACTGCATAAGATTTCGTAACTGGTTCAGATCCTTCTACATTCCCACATGTGATATAACTTTGATTCGAAGTTGGGGCTTCAGAGAGACAAAGAATTGGAACTTTTGCTTCAGGAAAGTCCGGATGTTGAAATACAAGAGTCAGAGCTCCAGGTTTTCCCAGTGGTCGTGGTAGACTTGAATAGTTTGACATAGTTCCATTTTGAATTGTATAAATCTTCTGTTTCGTGAGAATTGCAACACTTGGAATAGAAACTGAAAGAACTGTGATTTCGTAGATATTCAATAGTGAAATATATACCATCTTTTTCGGCTACGCAGTGTGTACCATTTGCAACAGTAAGTCTTGGATCGAAACAGAAGCACGAGAATGTTCCATTTTTGTTGTCCGTACATCCTTGGGAACATGCAGGAGGAAGTCCTAAAATTGATAAAATATACCTATTAAGATAATTAAAAATACCATTTTTCAATCGATCACACTGATTGACAAACTCGCATTTTCCTTTTTCATTCAAGAATTTGTTTTTTGGACAATAACATTTGATTCCATCAATGGTTATTGCTGCTCCATATTCACAATCGTTAGCTGTTGAAATGTTTTTCACACGGCAGACTTCATCTGAGCCATCCGAACAATCCAGCTTTCCATCACAAAACTTGAAAAGTGGTACACATTGAGCAGACGCTGCACATGCATATTCGTTATGCTCGCAATTCAAAGGTTGGTTGCCTAAAAATTAAGAATACACCAGTGGAATGAATTTTCTAATCTTACAAAGCTCTCGCGATTCATCTGAACGATCTTGTAGTCCATCTGGAAAACGTCCACAGTCCAACTGTCCATCACAGAGGTATCCACGAGGTAGACATTTACCCGTTTTACAAACAAACTCGTTTTCAAGACACGCTCTTTCTGCAATAAGAACCTATAGAAGATCAGAAATAATTCTCATATAAGGTTCTTACAAGGCTCATGTGAGAGTATTTACAGGGGGCATAATTACTCGATCTAGTTTGAATTAGCCTACAATTTGAGTAAAGCGTTGTACTCTGCTCAAATTTGGAGTGCATAAATTGAAGCAATTCATCAGCAAAGTTTCAAATTATTTCATCCACTCTGAGCTGAGTTATCGCTAGTCAAAGTTGCATCATCTCATGAAAATCGCAACGGCGTTAAGAAACACTACGCATGGACAATCATAAAAATACCTAGGTTTTACGAATCGCATTGAAAATTTCAGTACCTTCGAATCAAACGTAAAATTATAATTTGTCAATTTGTGTGCTTCCAAAATACTTATGTCTACAGATATACCCCCTTTTTATCGTCCGGGTAACGGTGCGCCACCCTGTGAGGTTCCCTCAAGAGCGATTCAAAAACTGCTTTGAAAACTTTTCGATTCTGTGACTTACTACACGTAGGAGGTTCATCTGAATTATCTCGACAATCTGGATACCCGTCACAAAACCACTGTTCTGGATAACACTTCGGTCCACTTGGCGTTCCTGAATCGCATTCTCTCATTGGTGGAACACATGATGATGTGTTAGCTTCTGAAAAAGAATAACTTTAATATTCTCAATTCAAAAATTCCAAACAAAACACTTACTTTTTAATGAAGAATCTGGCGAATCGGAAAGGCAAACACCCAAAAGGGCAACAAAAAGAATAACTAAAAAACGAGAGGAGAGCATCGGTGAGTGTACAAAACCTTCATGGAGAGCCGGTAGGAACAGGTTTCGACTGAAATTAATAGTTATAAAAAAAGAAGATGAACAAGGAGAAGGAAAAGAAAGGACAAAGAATACTAATTCGCAATTCGTGATTTCAATTTGGAACTAATTGCTGTTGTATTTTGGTACAAATGGTATAAAAGAAATACAGAAAAGAAGAAGAAGAAGGACTAAATAAGGAGGAAGGAAAGTAAGAAGGATGGAAAGGGAAGGAAAGACGATGAGCCGAATGCAATAAACAAAATTAAAAGAAGAAGAAGCATGGGCCACAGAAACAGAAACAGATTCTGATTGAAAGCAGAGAAACGGGAAGAACGCATAAAGGAGATGAATATTGTTACAATTGTCAATAGAATATTTGTGCTAGCTTTTGAAAATTGAAACATTCATAGAAGAATTGTATTCGGGAAGACTATAATTTTGAAAAAAACATTAAAACCAAAAAAAAGTTACTATTTTTATCAATCTGGTACAATAAGTCGGTGGCAGTGGCCGAAGGTCCCACAACGACAATTACCGTAACCTTAAAATATTTCTATTTTCTGAATTATTTTCTCGATTTCCGTTTAATTTCAGTCAACTTTTTTGCTCTCAAAAAATTCCATTTTGTGAATTGTTTTTTAAAAATTTTGTGTTTCTGTTTGAAAACAGAAAACTCTAGATCCTAAAATTATAATTTAAAATCCCAAAAAAACTGTAAACGCTGGGTTTAAGAACAAGTTGATTTGTGTGAAAGGAACTTTTTTGTAAAATCATACAAGGTCAAAAAAAGGTGAGAAGATAGGAAGAGATAGAGTCAGATACAAAAAGGGGAGAAGAATAGGGGTTTCGGCATTTGAAAATGGTGGAAAAGAGAGGGCAATTCGAAGAAAAGAGATATGTTGTGGTACAGAGGCGGTGAAAGAAAAAAGAAAAAAGAAGAAGAAGAAGAAGAAGAAGAAGAAGAAGAAGAAGGAAAATGTGAACAGTCTGCGAACACAAAAGAGACAATTTGATAGAATGAATGGAGGTTTAGTAAGTGCATTCCATACTTTTCAAAGTGTATCAAACAACTTTGAATAAGAAAGAGAATATAGTCAGATCGTGTGAAGAATCAAAACTCGAGTATCACAAGAAACAACCCCTCGAATCGGAAAAAAAAGGCCGCCAGATGTGAGTAAATTCATTCATCTTCCGGAGTCACTAAGCCATTTGGAACCAAACAAAAACCAAATCGACAAAAAGTCGGGGCGAGTAAGTACCCAATAAAATTGGAGACATTCCAACCAACCATGGGTGTCTTTTTGACGTCGGGACGAAGAAAAGTGAACGGAAACGGAGAAGAGAAAAGGATAAAAAAAGAGAAGGATATCTCTGTAGCCGTGGATTGTGCGTGACGGAGGGTGCATGTCTATTTAGGGAAAAGGGTAACGGCCGTCCAACTTTTTAGGAGAAAAAAGAGAGGGCGATATCAGGAAGAAGACCGCACCTAATAGGAAAGTATGAGTTCTAAGAATCTTAAAAATGTCTTTTTTATAGAAAAAGATCAAGATTTGTTATCATTTTATGTGCCGTTTGTCAAAAACAAAAATTCGCCGTAAAACCTGTAATAGAAGGGCCCCCACACTGTTAAGTTTAAGTTCAAATATCTCTATCACTATTAAAGATATGTGAAAGTTGTCAACTGATAAACTGTTTATCATAATATCACAAACATTTTATGAGTTGACACTTATTTGATATTTCTTATAAAAGCCGAGATAATTGAGCTCAAACTTGACAGCGTCGGGGCCCTTCTATTACAGGTATCACCGTATATTAACAGAAAAAAACTGTAAAAAATCTTCAAAGTTTATCCGGTAAACTTCGAATAAAAATAAAACATATTTTGACTCGAATAAAAATAATTCAGGTGGAATATAAAAAATCGTTAAATGGAATTGATAAGATGAGATGATTTTGGAAAAAAAAACAGAAGAACCTTCTGGTAACAATTAAAAAAGAAAGGTTGAAAAAAGAAAGAGGGTTTCGCTCACAACGGACGGATATGTCTCTATTTCTCCAGATGTCTAAATCTCTTTTCTCTCGTTTTATTCTTCAAAAGAGTGACCTCATCAGTGGACGAAGAAGTGTGAAGAAGACCTTGGCGAGAAAAAAAAGTAGGAACAAAAATAAAAATGAAGAAAAGAAACTTAATGTGTTTTGTTGTGGTTTTTGATTATAGAAAATAAATGAATGGATCATGTGAGTAATCATTGAGAGGTGAACAGTCATGGAAAATGATTAAACTTGAGATGATGGCTATTATTTCTCTATTTGATATTCATATAAAAAAATAAGTGAATGAAATATGAGCAAGAGCCATTTCAGTCTGTAAGAGCCATTTCAGTCTCAGAAGTCTGACTTTTTGCGGGAAGTGTAAAAGTGAAAGAATAAAAACAAGTGGCAAGTTGGTTTAGTGGTTTAGTTTCTCGAAAAAGTTATTATTCTCAAATGGTTTGGGACAGAAGAAAGACGGGATATAATCCGAAAAGAAGAGCACTTGAAAAGAGGAAAGAGAATGGGTCCATAATTGGATGAGAGCACAAGAAAAATAGAAGGACGGAGAGACAGAAAAGAGAGCCACACGGAAAGTGATGAAAATCAAATCGAATCGAGAAAAAAGATGATTGGAGGAATGGAGAAACAAGGGTCGAGGGGTGAGGGTGCACAGGAGACACGGGACACAAGGTAAAAAGTGACAAAAGGCTTTCTGGGTCTCCGACTGGGTATCGATATTTTGTTTGATGGAACATTCGGATGCCACCTGGTTTACGGATATTAGAAAAAAGATAATATGACTCTTCAGAACGACGACCATTATTTTAGTTTTATAACCTCTGAATGAGTTCTTTTGCGATGATATATACGAAGAGTTTGGTGTAGAGGTGGACCGGAAAAAAAAGGAGAAATGAAGAAGAAAAAAATGGGCAATTAAAAAATGAGAAAGTGAACGAAGTGAACACTTGAAACTACTAGTTTTCTACTCCCCTGAACACCAAAAATACATATAAACGAAATTATTTCAACTACTGTAGGGTTTTGGTGTACTGTTTGAAATGTCTAGAAGGTATTAGTTTCCCTTGATTATTTTCAAATGAAAATATATAAACTTTTCTAGAATTGCATGTACAAATAATCTTTTATGCCAAATATTTTCCAAATTTAAATGATGGTAATTAATCTGAATCTAATTTCGAGTATCGCAATATTGAATAAACGATGCGCAGAATTAAAGGTAGAGCAAATAAAAACAAAAGTAAATAATTCAGAAGTGGGTTCCTTTTTGAAGTCGTTTGTTGACGAGAACCGAGGAGAGAATCTTCGCAAACAAATAAGAATGCGTAACGAAGAGGTTAATCGAATTACCACAGATATTTTCAGAGAACATGTGAGATCTAACTTTCCCCCGAGAGACCAAATGTACCTGGCTGACAAACTGCCCCAATACACAAAAATGTAACAGTTTGTGGGTGAGAGGAGACAAGGTCGATTCGAGTGTGATGGATGCACCACGGAGATGTGCCCGGACGGCAGAAATGACGACGACAGATGGTACAGAAGAAGAGACGCAGATAGTGTGGAAGACGAAGAGAACATAGAGATATAGTGGGGAGAGAAAGAATGCGTGATGTTGCAGTGGCTCGCTTCTTTCCTCTCTCAAAACCGAAGGATATACGTACCTTTGGAACACACACACACAGGGACAAACAACAACAATTTTGTTTACTAGTGCTGGAAGATGGGAATATATGTGCTTGGATTGCTTCTCAATTCTGGAGCTTGCTTGCAAGAGGAATCTTTAGAAGTCTGAATCAGAACGATGACTGCAATTTGATTCTAAAGAATCTTTTCTCACATAAAAATGGATCAAAATATTCTATAGAGGCTCCGATACTCCATATATGGTGTTCTCAGAATCAGCAAGTCGCAGGTGACCAGTTGACCTCAAACCACGTGTCAGTTGCAACATCGTTAATGGGGCTCGTAAGTATGGAGAATGTCATTAGTGGGCATCTTGAGATGATTGACAGTTAATCGTATTCAATAAGGATGCGTTAAGACGACGATCATTAGAATGTCCGAAAATGTTTTGTCTTCTCTGATTCTGATGACGCTGTATTAGAAAACCAGCAGAAAAATTATATCTCGGGTTGAAGTCTCCCATCGACGTTCTCTCACCTAATTCATTAAACAATCGTACCTCATTTTTTCATCTAATTCTTTTGTGTACATCTAATCTTCTACTATTCGTATGATAATTATCTCTGAGTAATCGGAGAACAATTAATGTACATACACCGATTATTCACACCTGAAAAATCATGTTCAACAACGAGAAATCGTTCTTCTGACCAGCCGATAGAATACATATTTTGATTAATTTGAAATTTGTAACCGATGCTTTGAATTATTCCGTATGTGATGTTTAGGTCTAATAGAAATAAATGTTTATTATATCCACCAAGAGCAGATCCACTTTTAGAATAAAAATCGGGCAATCTAGTGTTTTATACTTTTAATGACTCGGCTTTCGGCTTCTAACTTCTGATCAGAGGTTGATCAGAATTCGGATAAGGCAGCTACAAAAACCGATCAAACACTCACTAACTCATGACAAGGGTTTCGACCTAGTTTTATCTCAACTTTCAACTTTCGACCAAAACCTGAGCGTGGCACGCTATTCAGCCGTTTTTGGAAAGTTCTGTTCAGAACCTAGCCCATCTAAAAACCGAGTCAAAGCCGAACCCTTCAACTTCTGACCAGAATTTTCAAGCCTATAGCCGAGAACGTTCTTAACAGGCTGATAACCTAATGAGATTATATTAACAAACAATCAGGTTAAATGGTTTAGCCGGGGTTAAAACGCAACGACTCATTTATTAAAACCTTTACTTCATTTTAAGTTTTGTTCAGATTCCTGAAATATTCACTCTGATTAGCTGTTTAGCAATTGCCTAGGACCATTATAACTCGAATGACTTCTTATCTAGCAGACATCCAATTCGGAACATAACGAGACGCTCTATCACGGAACGAGGAAAAAAGAGAAAAAGGAGAACGAAGGATGAACAACGAGGAAGACAAAGTTCGACGACACAACGAGATAACGTAAAAATCGGAAAAAACGTGGATAGCTGAAGGAACCCGCGCGCACAAAAAAAATCAAGTTCACGAAGTTATCGTATCCAGGCGAAGTTGGCGACTCGACGTTGCTTGATCGGTGGCATTCCACTGAAAACGTATACATAACCAGGACGGACAGACGCGTGTAGCGTTTTATATATAAGGAAGATAGTGAAATAGGTAACTTTCTTTTTTACCTAATGAAACTTTTGGCTCTTTATGACAAGGGGGGGGGGGGGCATGAAAAAAGGGGGCAAGTGAAAAAGGGGGGGGGGGG